CCATTAGATTGATGATTTCCTTCACTGCCTAAAATGGTTGGAAACTTTATCAATTGGATGTCAAGTTCACATTCTTGATTGGTTTTCTTGAAAAAGAGATATATGTGGAACAACCCTTGAGGTATGTGAAACCAAGTTGTGAAGGCAATGTGTACAAGTTGAGAAAGGCTTTTTATAGGCTCAAGCAAGTACCATGTGTATGGAATGCCAGAATTACAAGTATTTCCATAATAATAGGTTTGAGAAGTGTCCTTCTGAACATGCTTTGGTATGTGAAGAAGACCACTTGTGGAGATGTGTTATTTGTGTCTCTGTGTTAATGATTTGATCTTCATCGAAAATAATGCAACCATGTTTGATGAATTTAAGAAAAGTATGATTCAAGAGTTCAAGATGACAGATATTGGCTTGATGGCACACTTTCTTGGCATTGAAGTAGTGCAAAGGGATGATGGGATCTTTATTTTTCAAAGTGCATATGCGAAGGAGGTTCTCAAAAGATTCAAGATGGAGCTTGTAATGAAATGAACAACCTTTTAATTGTGGCTTGATGTTTAGGAAAAGTACTGATGGTAGTAATGTGAATCCTACATATTTCAAGAGCCTAGTTGGAAGTTCACGCTATATCACTTGCACTAAACGTGACATTTTTTATGGAGTTGATTGGTAGATACATGGAGGCACCGGATTAATCACACCTTAGTGTGGGAAAGATGATCTTAAGGAATCTCAAAGGAACTATCAATGATGGCTTGTTCTATTCTTATTGCAATGATGTGAAACTTGTTGGTTATTCGGATAGTGATTGAGGTAAAGATTTGGATGAAAGAAAGAACACTTTTGGTTTTGCTTTCTTTGTTGGTGATTGTGCATTCACTTGGTCATCCAAGAAGTAACCTATTATGACTTTATTAACTTGTGAAACGGAGTATATAACGGCAAATTCTATCATTTGTCATGCTATTCGGTTAAGAAATGTATTGAACTATTTAGGGTTTGTGCAAGAGTGTCCTACGAAGATTTTTGTTGACAATCACTCGGCTATTGCTTTGGCCAAGAATTCGGTGTTTCATGAAAGAAGTAAACACATTGAAACTCGCCATCACTTTATTTGAGAGCATGTGGAGAAGAATGAAATTGAGTTAGTGCATTACAAGTCTCAAGATTAAGTAACGGATACCTTTACCAAGCCATTGAAGATTGATGTGCTTAGAAGGATGAAGGTGATGTTGGGAATGAAAAATGGTAATTGGGTTTAAGGTGGACGTTGGATTGTAAACCTAATTATATTGGGTTAGTCACTTGTCTTTTCTTTTTTCTAGTAGCCCATTTACTTAGCACATTGAGTTGGAACCTTTTTTTCTTCTATAGTTAGGCCATTATAATGTAAACGAAGTAAATGATAGAATGAATATAGGGGCTGAAAAAATAGTGTAGAGAATAGAGAAGATAGGGTGTTTAACATGAAAGAGGAAAGAAGAAAGATGGATATTTTGTCTTTGTGAGAAAAATGCAAATTTTTGTGTAAGTTATCTCTTACTCTACTAAATGAATATCTTTGATGCATTTTGAAGTAACGAACATGTTATTTTGTTTGTTATTTACAAATTTGAAAGTTAGTTATATGGTTATTTGAACTTTGAGCTTAGTTGATTGGAGATAGTTTTTTGTGAGAAACTTATGCTGAAAATTTGTGTATGATTGTGGTGAAAAGTTGTGATTTTGGTAGCTCATTGAACCTTGGTTTATTATGTTTCAATAAGCTTTATGGAGCTTGCATGTCAAGTGTTTGTGAAAATGTCTTTTAGGGCCTTCCTTCCAACATGATTTGCATAAGGACTAAAGGGTCTAGTGGGGCCGTGAGGCAATAGATTGGGATTTTATTACTTTATTGTGGAATTTTGACTTAGTGGGAATTTTGATTTAAGGGGAATGGATTGGAAAATTTTATTGTTGACTGGTCAATTTTTTTTTTTTTTAATTTGGAGGAAAATATTTAATTTAAAGGGAATTTTTATCAATTTCATACAAGATGTTCATAATGACAAACATATTTTTTATAAAGAAAAATTTATTGTTCACTTTATGTCATTTTGTTATAATTCTAAAAAAATTGTGAGTAATTTTTTATCAAGTAAATAAATTACTTTAAAAATTTTAAAATAAGGTTTTTTTTATGTTTATAATTACAATTAATATATTTTATAGTCGTGTAAAATAAAAAAAAAAATTCATGACCTTGATGAGCAAAAAAATCATGATGAAATCTGTTATGTTCGCAATCACAATAAACATGAGGCAATTAAAAAAGCAACCGTGATCACAATTTAAACTAGCGGAGACTAGGGTTTCTGATAATTTTGTTAGGATTTTTGGGTGAGAGGTAGATATTGTAGGCATTGATTCGGGTTTAGGATCTTGGGTTCATTAGAGTTTGGAAAAGTGAAAAAGGCAGAAAAGGAAGAAACAAAGTTGTGCTTTCAGAGACCATGGATGGCGGGGAGGACGACATCGTTTAAAGATTTTCAGTGCTAGCTTTCCGTGGGGTTTTTAGCTGTTTGGACAGGTGTGAGAAAAGGAAAAGACGGATGGTGTTTCAGAGTTATCGGACAGCAGCAGGAGGTCCTATCGACTATAGGATATTATGACTTAAGGTCGTAGATACGTGGATTTCCAAGGATTTTCAAACAAAAGCAATTTGATAATAGGAAAAAGAGGCTCGGGTAGAGTATCAAAGTTGATTTTGGGAGGCTTTCAACTTTAGCGAGTGACGGGTATCAGCCGATAAAGGCTACACTAATGGCAATTGCATGATAAAATATGAAAAAGACAAAAGAGAGGTTTGGGTAGAAAGAGAAATTGAAATTTAAGAGAAATAGGGAGAATTGAACTAACTAAAAAAAATCATTTTTGGATTATTTACTTGCACCAAAACGGTGCATTTGGTTCAATTTATAGAATGCAATTAGGTCTAAGCAAGAAAAGGTTGTGCGGCGTAAGCTTATATGGTTTTAGTACCATATTCTAAAATATTCATTGATCAGATGGATGACTATTTTGAATAGGTTTCTAACAATGGATAGATTGAGAGGTTGGAGAATAGAGTTTGAAGGTAGACTTGTGTCAAAAGTGAGGGTGGATCAAGGTATCATGTGGTTTTCGGTTGTGCTTACACTAAAGAAATCTGGCAAAGGACATTTTAATTGTGCAGGATTAATCAAAGAGTAGGAAGTTGTGTTCCTGAGCTGAAATGGGCAGAGAATAGGATGAATGGGAGAACCCTGATGTCTATCATACTAGCCAAAACTTGGAATGCTTGTATATATCATGTATGGAAGGAAAGGAATCAACGGCTGTTTAAGCATATGGAGGAGACACTAGAACAAGTGATTGATGGACCAAGGACATTGTCAGGAATAGGCTACACGGACCGAGTTGGATTGCTGGAGATGTAATTAACAAACAACTTTGGGCTGATTGGAATCTTAATGTATTTATGATATAAAAGGCTGCTATTAGAATGCCATTCTTTAATACTTTGTACAGTTTGTGGAATAGTGGTGTTATAACATAATTCTGCTAGTTTTGGATAATAAAATTACTGCTTACCAAAAAAAAAAAAAACAGATCGAAAAGAAAGGATCCCAAAAGAAAAGGACTCCAGACTAATTGGACTTGCCGCGTGGAGGTCTGTTTCACTGTTGGGCCTTTGGTTAACATTATGTTTTTAAGTTCACTTCAAAAAATATGATTTTACTATTAATATTAGTTATAAATTTATTTAATTTAAAATAAATTTTGTATAAATATTTTTTAAAAATTTTACCCATACAATCACGGTTCAATGTAAATTAAATTTATAAAATTGTTTTAAAAAAGTAAAAAATAATAAAAATATAATTTTAAAAAATATGAATAAATATCATAAAAATATTAATATTTGTTAATAATAATTTAACCATAGAAAAATTTTATTTTTGAGATTATATTTTTAAACAACGATTTTATTTCATTGTTGCATGGTTTTCATTAAATGAAATTAATAAAATGAAAATTAATATATTTTTATACCATCAATAATAATATGCATTAAGTTATACAATAAAATAAAAATATTTTAAAAAACGCATATAAATTACACTTGCAAATGCATTTGTATAATGTTACTTGTAAATAATTAATTTTCATAACAAACAAAAATAATTATATTTATATTACTATTAATATATACATATTAAAACATACAAAAATAAAATTATTTAAATAAATAATTATTATTTATATGCTTTAATTTAAAATTAAATAATATTAATTCAATTAAAAAATTATATATTTTAAAAATGACAACCCTCGATCGGTGAAGCGAGGGCAACCTTCCAATAAATATAATAATATATATATATATATAAATATATATACAGAAGAAACTCAATATTAGAGTCATGTTTGAATTAATAAAAAGGAATACACATAATTACGTATGTGTCGAAATAGTTTCTTTTTCCTCTTCTAAATCAGTAAGAAGATAATGATAAAAGTTTAGAAATATTACATAAAGTAAAAAATTTCAAAAAGACATTTTACAACTACTGTTCATGTAAAGTACATTTGGAATTATTTGAAATCAAGTAACCTAAGCAATCTATATTTATCAAAAAAAAAAAAAAATTAAATGATTTAATGATCTAAGGATGATAGCTGCCTAAAAATCTGAACCAACCAAAATTCCCAAATGGCATCATGCCTTAAAATCTTTTTTTTCTTAGACCTAGTGTCTGCGTGTATTCGGGTGTGTATTAAATAAAACCATTTTAGGTCGAGAATCGAGAGCTCTAAACAACTACATGAGTTAACTAAAGCACCAATGACTCCTCCTAAAAGAGAATATTTTGGTTTCAAAGCAAGATCAAAAGTTATGAATTTCATCTTAAATTAATAATTTGAAAAATGTTTTAAAATAAATAAAATTAAACTACTAGATAATGAGAAAAAGAAAGTACCTCCAGCTCAGCCTTCACAGCTTCAAAATGAACACTAGAATCAGTTAATAGAGGGCAAGAGATCACTGTCAACTTCATCAAAGATGTAAGAAACTTTAGTCGGGGAAGCATAGTGTCATTTTCATCCCTTTCTTTTGCAGGTCTGAACACTTGTTTTAATTGATGGCAATTAATTATGTAAAGATTTTCCAGTTGCGGAAACCCTTGGGGCGCCATCATCCGCGGAAAAATATATTCCAAACCATCACATTTATCTATCTCGACATATGTTAACTTTGGGAAGCACAAAGAAGTGTGAGAATTGATGGTTGATGATATTTCTTCTTCAACACCTTCCGATTCTGTGACTATTTGCTTCAATTCACCACAGCCCTTTATCTGAAGATATTCTAAGAGTACCAGACTTTGAGCTACAGAAAGTGAGAAGAGAGATTTCAGACTTGGGCAAAAGATTAGCTTTAAATCCACTAAACGTCCAAGGCTTATATGAGTTGGCAATTCCCATATGCAACGCAAATGAGACAAATCCTTTAGATACAAGCGTTCTAGGCTTGAGTGCAATGATGCGTGATTTTCCACCTTCTCCATCTGAAATACCACTAACAGATTCTCACAGGATTCAACTTTCACTTCTTTTAGATTTTGTAAAATCAATGAAACTGGCACCTTCTGTTGTGTTTTATCATTCAAGCATTCTACATACTCATCCTCCATATCTGAGACTTTAAGAAACTCTATTTTCCAAAGTAACTCTAAAATTACATTTAGAGGAAACCCCCCCTCAATCTGCAAGGACGATCTTGATGAGGTTACCGGTTTATCCCTATAAGAGCTCCTTTCCTTTATGGCTATTTCATATCTTTGCAATCTAGGAAACTCAAAGTCATTCGGAATATGTAAAAAAGGTAACTCCAAGTATAGTGCCTCTAATCTAGATAAGAATCTTAGCTCCGGAAGGATAGCAGTACTTGCCTTTCCACTTGCAATCTCTAAACCTTTTATGTATAGCTCCTCCAGCTGGTAGAAACTTCGAATCAAATTAGGGGGAAATCTTGACAAAATTTTACAATTAGTTAGATCCAACACCTTAAGATTTTTCAAATTCCCGAATTCATCTGCCAATTCCTGGACTTCTGAACCACGCAAACTGAGAATCTCAAGTGTCGTCAGGTTTCCAAGGGATGAGAAGTCTTCTACCCCGTAGAAATTTTCTACATGTAGAGCTCGAAGTTTTCTTAGAGACATAAGAGAATTCAAAGAAAACTCCCAACGATAAGGCTTCACAAGACTCAGAACTCTCAATTCTTTCATCTCTTGAAAACATTCATTTGATGTATGACAGTTCTTTAGCAATAGGATCTCAAGCTTCGGACAAACCAATCCCTTAGGAAATTTTTTTTTTTCACCATCCAACAATGAGATTGCATTACAAGGTTCAAGGCTTTCATTCGCTAACCCCAAACTAGGTTTTATCATAAAATCACTTTCTTCTTTGGATGCAACCCATAGAGCAACATCACGAACCATGTCATGTAATTTGACATACCTGATCATGCCAAAACACAAGACAATATGTTGTGGCTTATACTTATTTAAAGGATAATTTCATATATATGTACACATACGGGAGAATCAAGCATTTAAACTCAATTCTTTGAACATAGGAAAGCATATGCACTTACCATTAAACCAAATAATTTGGTGCTTTAAAAGATAAATATTTGTACAAGATAAAAGATATAAAGTAATAAAAAACAATAAGAATAAAAATGAAGAAAAAAAAAAAGAGAAAGAGAATAAAATAACCTTATATGATATTTCGCATGACATAAATTAAAAAAAAAATGACAGACTTTAATAATTTGAGTATTGGACAAAGAAAGAATCTTTAATTGCACTTCAAAAGAATATAAATGTCTTGTCTACAAATGTCGATTATTTAGTACACATTTAAAGCCTTGTGTATGTAAAAGGTACTCACTACTTTAATAATAAATCACTGTTTTCCAGTTCAATAAAAATTTTAAAATTTTTAAGTTGACGGTGTAAAGTTTATTTATGATACTATAAAATTGTCTCCATATGTTAGTTTTCTTAAATTGAGAGGTCAATTAACAACTAATCAAAAAGTTCCTAATTAAGAGGATACCCATACATATATATATTTATATATATGATTAAAATTTGAAATTTTAAAGTTCAAATCTTGGCTACATGTTGTATATATAATTGAAGGCTATGTACCTATGTATGAGTTATGAGTAAAAGTTTCAGCAGAGAATTAAAATTAAGAAAAGTTCCTGATTTCAGGGAACATACCTTTCTGTATCTGCTAACAACAAACTAGAATCTTTGAGGTAGTCAATGGCTTCCAAGACTTCAAACCTCGCTTCTTCAATTGAGGCAGCCTTGCTATATATCTTCAAACCCCAAGCATGTCTCACCAACGCTTCCACATCAATTGAGTAATCTTCTGGATATAAAGCACACAATAAGAAGCATCTCTTGGTTGTCTCCTTCCTCAAGTAATCATAACTGATCTTCAGACACATGTAGACATTTTTCTCTGCCTCTTCTTCAACATTCCCAATTTCCATTAATCTGTAGTTCTTAAGCTTGTCAAGTGCTACTTCCCATCCTTTAACAGTTTTAGTACCTTTTAAAGCCCTTGCTAATGTTACAATAGCTACAGGTAGGCCCTTGCATTCTTTTGCAACATTCATAGCCACCTCAATAGTGTGTGCATGATCTTTACCTTCATCGAGGCTTGCTTTTGTTTTGAATAAAGTCCATGCCTCACCTTCATCTAAAACACCGAGTGAAACCGTAACTTGACTTGCCATAGATTCACATACTTTCTTACGACGTGTTGTCAAAATGATTTTACAGCCCTTGTGATTTTCACGCAATGGAATGCCTATCTCCTTCAAGTTGAGCTCATCCCACATATCGTCAAGGATTATGAGGACCTTTTCTTCCTTTTTCAATCCAAGCCATAATTCCTCTGCTTTCCCTTCTTTACCCATCTTTTCAAACTTTAAATCTAAGAAGTCTGCTATTTTAACTTGAATATTTTCAATGATTGGAGTTTGGGACACGACAGCTTTTATAACTTTATGGAAAAGCTCTAATTCTTTGGCTTTCTTGCCCACTTCGGTGACTAAGGTGGTTTTACCAACCCCTCCCATCCCCCATACTGCGATCATGTTGACTTCATCATTCTTCAATGCCTCCATGATCTCATTGAAAGCAGAAGTTGAAGATTTTGAAGCCACAAGATCCTTAGGAGAGAAGAATTCTATGCCAGGGAGAGTAGCACGGTGACCAACTCTGTCAAATTTAGAAGACTTGACAAGTTCTTTGATCGCCACTGTCTGTCGCTCTATCTTCTTACTTAACGGATATCCACAACTCCAATTAGGACACCAAAGGAAGCATCTCTTATTTTCTTCAATTCTACGTTCCAAACTCTGTACATCTTTGAAGACATTTTCTGCGTCTGTCAACCAGTCCTCTACATACTGCTCAATTACTTGAGTTTGAACATGCCTTTTAGCCTCTTCAACATCCTGCATTACTCGAGTTTGTTCTTTGCTCAAATTTTTTTCCTGCAGCTTGAGCTCTTCAACAATCTTATTAAAACGAAATAAGTAACGAAAACCACGCTCTACGGGCCTCACCAGGTACTCTACCATCAGTGTTCCCACGGCATTAGAAGCAGCAGAGAGACAGAAGGCCGCGGCCATTGCCAGTAATCTGAAGTCAGAAAACAACTCTGCAAAGCAGATGAAAACGTAAAAAAAAAAAATTACACTTTATACACCCAAAAAAGGAAATGAAGAAGGTTGAAGAAAATGAGCAACAATTTACTCTCTTGAAAGTTGAAACTGACCACTTGAGATAAAGATCTATGCAATATTTTAAGAACCAAATTGAAAGGGCGCTCCCTTGCTTCAGCGAAAACGCTACAAACTGTGAAAGGAAAATAATTAGGCTGTGAAGCTAAAGTAAAACAGATATTTGTTATGAAGGGAAAATAGAAACTAAAGAAAGAAATTTGACAATAACTTTAAGGATTTATATGTCAATGATAGGATTTCTAAACTTCACTAGTTATATTTCATTCATAACTTTTTTTCATTAGGAAACCATTTTGTTCAAAACAATTTTTTTTTTTTATTTTTTTATATTTTCATCCACACAGTGGGTGCATCAAAATATTTTTAAACATATTACGAGGCATATTTTTTCTTACTTTTAAATAATTGTGTACGGTAGTCTTTTTTTAATTTGATATTTAAATAAATCTAATTTTTATTTTTTATTTATAAAATAAATCATTTTTATTTCACCGACAATAATATCTTTTGACAAAATCAATTTTAATATATTTTTTTTTTTTTTGTAAAATCATCATCATCATAAAAAAGTTCATTAATTAATTGACCCAATAAATAAACCAAAGTAACATTTAAAAACTATAAACACCCAAATAACATATTTTCCTGGCTGAAAAATATTATAAAAACCCAAAAAATTTTTAAAGACGATTAAATTCAATAAAAAAAAAAAAGCAAAGTACGATTTAAAAACCTTTTCTTACGACCAAAACTTTATGGACTTTCTATACAATGAAATTAAATAAATATGTTTTAACAAAGCAATTTTATATACAAAAACTTTAAAAATTAAGTGTGCAATTTATTCATATTTAAAAGATCAGCGAAAATAAATTCATAGAAATATAAATGTTCCTAATTACCTCACTTTGGCGTCTTCTAAAGAATTAGAAACTGGATTTAATGCTGCAGGGACTTGCGTCCTCCCCCGATTCCAGGAGTTCTTCAATAGTACAGGAAGATTAAACAAGCACCTTTTCAAATCACTACACAATTAAGAAATAATTTTATCTAAAATTTATTTCATAACGTCATAATATATATGTATTTATATATATATGCATAATTTTTTTAATAATTAAAGAGATTAGAATATAATTCAAAAGAAAAAAATAAATTCAAAAGGTATAATAATAATAAAATTACCTGTCAGTGGGTCTTCGAAAGCTTTAGATATGGATTTAGTGTCGCAGGGACTAGGTCTTCAGTTCTTCACCACTTGCAGACTTCTTCAGCAGGACTATATGTAAAAGATTAAAGGAGCAGCTTCTACTGGATTCTCTTCTTCTACTTAGAACAAACGGAAGTAGAAACCAAATGAAAGAAACACAGCACTTTTTTTTAGTTAAAAGAAAACGAAAGTAGAAATGAACCTTATATATAACAGGAAATTAGAGCAGTTTTTTTTTTTTTTCTTTCTTTTGAGTTGAAAGGAAGCTAGAACTTGGAGAGAATAAGATTAAAAAGCAGTTTTTCTTTTCCTTTTTTATGTGGAAATCAAGAAAAAGAAGATCTACAAGCAAATTGATTTTTTTTTTTTTGGAAACAAAAGAAAATAGAGTGGAAATCAAGTGAAGGAAAATAAAGAAGTTGGTTTTTTTTTCCTTTAAACTACCACAAAGAGCAGCTTTTTTGGTTTTTTCGTCTTTTCCTTTTTGCAGTTAATTAAAGCAGGAAGCAAAAGTGGAAATTGAAGAAAAAAAGCGGCCTCTACTTTTGAGCTCTAAAAGAAAAAGAAAAAGAAAATCGAATCAACTTTATAATCACACTAAATTTTTTTTTTTACTATTTTAGCCTTAACGTAATTTTTTAGCTATGTCTTTTTATATAGTCATTTTTTATTATTTTAGTCATTATCTCTTGTGCTCTGTGTCGACCGACACGACTGTAACGTTTAATAATTAAAGATTTTAAAATAACATGCAACAGATTTTAGTAAACTTAATCAATAATGGTAAACTTTTCAATTGTATGTCCTTTTCCTTGTTTGAAAGCAATGGAAGCTTATCTGTGTGGAGCTGGCATTTATCATATACCTAAGGAATTGATAGAGTAAGAATAATTCTTGCAAAGCCCATGAAGAAATAAGCATTAAAGCATATATGAGCAAAATTAATTAAAGGAATCATCACTGTCATACAAACGGATAAGGCTCCCTTGACAAAGTAACCCACAAGTCATCAACCGACCATGAAGTGAATCCCAGTTAAGACTATCCATACTGAATTGTCCCCGCATTCCTAAGGGCAGCACCAGCCACATGCAGCACCAACGGCACCGAATTGGGATTGAGCCTGCAGCATCAAGGGTCATCTATCATTTAATTTGTCAGCCTTGGCTTGCGGTTGGTAATAGGGGTTGCTGTTCATGTCAACAACCATTCCAGGGGCTGGTTTTGCCACCATGCTAAACTGAGGTTGCAGTTTGGCTTGTGGATTCCTGTCAGCCTGTATTCCAGATTTTTCTTGATTTGTGGTGCTAGTCTTGAGGAAACAATGTGGGGAGACATTCTGTGGAGGAAGGACTGCATTTCTGAAAAAAAAAAATTAGCCTCATTACCATCTTTAACATTTTTCTCTTTCTCATATGATATGACAGATCCGATGACTCTCCCTGTTTTTGCTGTACAAAACAAAAGGAGAACAAACTTTTAGATCAGCTAGATGTTGAAGCAACAAAGGGACATACATGGCTATAGGCCATAACAAGTGTACTCAGCACTGACCTACCATCAATGAGCAAAAGTATTTTCACATTTCATGCTAGAGAAAGCCTAAGGGATATCAGAGTCTTCAAGAATGTGAAACTCTTTTAAAGAGGTATAGTCCCAATTACCGAACCCACATATGGCAGACATAGATTTGAATTATCCTAATTTTTTGTTTGCTTAATCTTAAATTATTGATTGTTTTTGTTTGCATTCTTTGACTTGGCTTGTGAAATTTGAGAATTAAATATATGTGGCCCTTCACACATGCTATCATATACATATGCATCACATGAGTTCTATATTCGAGCTTTGTCCTATTTAAGAGAGAGTAAAGTACCTATACTATCGTGAGATAATCATTTTCGTAATGATTAGTAAAATACTCCTATTCAAATTAAATCATTTTTGTTTATAGCCTATGATGGATAAGGATTAAAATATCTTACTAATTTGTAATGCACAATGATGTGAGAACAATTTGGGAACCATTAGTTTAACCTAAATCACATACTGTAAAACATAAGAAGCCAACCTAAAGACAAAGCCGAATATACTAATTATTAGAATGTAACTCTAGTTAGGATATATGAGTGGACTTTTTAAGCTTCATTCATATCAACTTCATGATAAATTTTATTGGATTCTTATTTATTATTAAATTGTTGTATGTTGTATCCTTATTCCAGCATTACTAACATATGTATTCATTCATGCATCATAATGTGACAAACGTCATTACATGCATTCTTATATTGTTTATGTATTTATGCATGCATGCATATAGAATTTTTAAAACATTAGGATAATTTTGAAAATTTCTTCGCATACACAGTTAGCATGCTAATTATGGTATATAATGTTCAAAGATAGTTCTACCGTCATTATCCAATTCAACCCATTCACTATTGTACAACACCAAAGTCGGAGCCAAAGCCACAACCAAACAAATGGAACAAGACAATGCCAATCATCTTGAGAAGATAGAAAAAGCCTACAAGAAGTTTGAAGGGGAGTTAAGTAAGATTCTAGAAGCCTTGAACAAATTGAATAAGGAAAAGAGTGTAGAAGAAGATACTAGCCAACAAGACCATTCGTCATAAGATGTTGTTGATCCTTTTTATGTTCCTAATTGATTCAATATTAAGTTTTATACAAAAGAAACTGTATTTTGATAATAGAAGAAAAGGATTACAAATTGTTGGGTCCTTTGAATATCCCTCTCAGTTCTGGTAAATGAAGAAGCTTCAAAGATTGTAAATTTGAAAGTGTCCGCTCTGGATTTTCTTCACTGTTATAAAGAAGCTCATCCATTTGAAATACCACTTGCAACTTCCTACATTTCCGTACAACCAGTTGTTGTATTTTTGTAATTTTCCTGTCGGAGACAACGGGACATCATCTCTGCAATTTACAACTTCCAAAATTTTTAAATTTTGCAGGAAACCTTGTGGAGACTGACCCTTGCATAACATTTTCAGACCAACCATATTATATGTAACTAATTCGACCAAATCGGTGAACGCAGAAGTTGGCACCTTCATTGTTGTCGTATCAACCAAGCATTAAAGATCCTCGCAATATTCCAGTAGAAGGGAAGTTAATCCACATAGTCCCTCTCCGTTAGCATCTGGAACCAGATTATGACTTACCACCCTACTTCTCCGGAGACCAAGTTCTTTTGTATTGCTGAATGATTCCCTGAGTGCTGATAACCGAACCTCCTGATTATAATTCATCACATAAGTAAAAAAACATTATATCAATTAATAATACTAATACTAACAAACTATACATTAATTGATTATATATGTGCTGTAGAGCAAACCCTGTTCCTTTCTTTCAAGTCTTCTGAAATGATTACAATAATTATTGCAAAAGTGCCAAAAGATATCTATCATACTACGCATAGCTTGGAATGCTTTGTATATATCAGATATGGAAGGAAAGGAATCAATGGTTGTTTAAGCATATGAAGGAGACACTAGAACAAGTGATTAACGGAATCAAGGACATGTAGCCAAACCATCACAATTATCTATCTCGACATATGTTAACTTTGGGAAACGCAAAGATGTGTGAGAATTGATGGTTGATGATATTTCTTCTTCATCACCTTCCAATTCTGTTACTGTTTGCTTCAATTCATCACAGCCCACTATCTCAAGTTTTCTAAAGAGTGCCAGACTTTGAGCTACAGAAAGTGAGAAGAGAGATCTCAGACTAGTGCAATCGTTTAAACTTAAATCCACTAAACGTTCAGGGCTTATATGTTGAGATGGCAATTCCCATATGCAACTCAAATGAGACAAATTCTCTAGACATAAGCGTTCTAAGCTTGAGAGCAGTGGTGCGCCATTTTCCACCTTCTCCATCTGAAATGCCACTAGCAGATTCTCACAGGATTTAACTTCTACTTCTTTTAGATTTTGTAAAATCAATGAAACGATCACCTTCTATTGCGTTTTATTAGTCAAGCATTCTACATATTCATCCTTGATATCTAAGACTTTAAAATCAGGTTTGATACACAAAATTATGATAAGATAAGATAAAATAAGATAATATTATTAATAAGATTAAATTAAATAATGATATTTTATTTTGTGTTTAATGTATGCAAGAATTAAGACAAGATAATTTATTTATTTGTCAAAATTATCTTTCTTTAAAGATTATACAATTTAAATTATTGATATAATTTTTAAGAATATAATTGGATATAAAAGCTTAATCTCATAGATTAAAAATAATTTTTTCTCAAAGTGGATTGAATAATCATATACTAAGAGGATATTAATCTTCCATACAATTTTTATCCTTATATTTAAAAACAAATCAAACATGATATAAAATGATTATTATCATATTTTATTAATAATCTTATACATCAAATATGACATAAGAGACTCTACATTCCAAAGTAACTCTGAAATTACATTTAAAGGAAACCCCCCCTCAATCAGCAAGGAGGATCTTGGTGAGGTTACCGGTTTATGCCAATAAGACGTCCTTTCCCTTATGGCTATTTCATATCTTTGTAATCTAGGACACTCAAAGTCGTTTGGAATATGTAAATAAGGTAACTCCAATAGTGCCTCTAATCTGGATAAGAATCTTAGCTCGGGAAGGATAGCAGTACTTAACTCTCCACTTGCAATCTCTAAACCTTTTACGTATAGCTCCTACAGCTGGTAGAAACTTAGAATCAAATTAGGGGGAAATCTCGACAAAACTTTACAATTGGTTAGAACCAACAGCTTTAGATTTTTCAAGTTCCCTAATTCATCTGCCAATCCCTGAATTTTTGAACCACGCAAACTGAGAATCTCAAGTGTCGTTAGGTTTCCAAGGGATGAGAAGTCCTCTAACGCATCGAAATCTTCCACATGTACAGCTCGATGTTTTCTTAGAGACGTAAGAGAATTCAAGGAAAAGAACTCCCTACGATAAGGCTTTGCAAGACTCAGAACTCTTAGTTCTTTCATCTCTTGAAAACATTCATTTGATGTATGACAGTTCTTTAGCAATAGGATCTCAAGCTTCGGACAAACCAATCCCTTAGGAAATATTTTTTCTTCACTATCCAACAATGAGATTGCATTACAAGGTTCAATGTTTTCATTCGCTAACCCCAAACTAGGTTTTATCATAAAACCACTTTCTTCTTTGGATGCAACCCATAGAGCAACATCACGAACCATGTCATGTAACTTAATGTACCTGATCACACCAAAACACAAGACAATGTGTTCTGGCTCATACTTATTTAAAGGATAATTTCATATATATGTACACACGCGAGAATCAAGCATTTAAAC